TTGTAATTTACTTTTTGAAATTTTATTTTTCTCTTAACTTTAGAGTTAGATTCATTAAAAAACATGAGAAAAAAAAAGTCATCATTTGTAGAGAGGAAAAAGAAGTCATAATCAAAGCTATCAAACTCGTGGACTTTTTTTTTTAATTAAATTTAGATTCCAACTTGCAACATTTTTATCAATAATATATATCTTAACCAAATTTCTAACTAACCATTAAGACGATTGATATTGATAGAGGCATCGTTTTCATCCACACATTGGAAAAAAATATCCAAGATGCCCCTGGATGGAACATAGTTTGTCTCTGCAATTCGCACCACATCCAAAGATTCTCAAGTGTGATAATTCTTCTCAAATTTATGCAATTTCCACCAAAAATTTGTATTCAAAAAGGGAAAAGAAAAAAAAGAAAGAAAGAAAAAGACTTCTCCAATCATTTTGTCACAAATGGATAATATTTTTATTTTTTTCCACAGCTATTGTCTACAAATATTTAAACTAATTCTCAGCAATCTTGAAATAATATATATATTGATATTATTTTCAAATTTCATTCGATAAGTATTTCATTTTTAAATATGAGAACGCTTCTAATTTTTATTTTTAATAACTCAGTTTCTTCCCTAATTATCCTGTTGCCTACACATCTTCCCCTTTTCTAAATGATTTTGGAGTCTCTGTCTCTTTTTTTCTTTCAAATTTTGACTAGGATATTAAAAAATTATAAATAATATAGTTTAGTTTTTGAAAAAAATTAAAAACAACCCGCTAATATTTTAACATATTAGATACATTGCCTTTTAACAATTTAGACATATGTGACTCCCTATATTAAATTTTCACCTATTATATGAATTAATATTATTTAAAATAATAGGTTAAAATAATATTTTGGTCCTTATAAATTATTTAAAATAAGATTTAAAACAAAATAAAATGACTAAATGATCCTTGTATGAACATTTTCAAAATACAGAATTAACATGAACCAAATTAGAAATACAGAAGTTAAAACAACGTTTTAAAAATATAAGAACTAAAATGAACTCGAATTCAAACTACAGAAACTAAACTAATATTCTAACTAAAATAATATTAAACTACGATTAAAGAAAGTACTAAAAACGTAATATTACACTGCATTAATTTTCATTCCAATTTTATTTTTTGAAAATTAAATTAAAATTGTGGCTAAATTTAGAAAAATGTGACGAGGCCTCTTTTTCCGAGTTAAAGGCAATCACATGGTGTGGGGCCAGGGCTTGTAATATAATAATAGGTCAAAATTAAAGGGGAAAGCGTGTGTGTTTGTCTACTTTATCATTAAGTGGGACCCAATATTTATTATTATTATTATTATTATTATAAATTCATAACCACCATTATAACATTTTATTTCATTAAAAAAAACCTCTTATTTAAAAATATTAATAATAAAATTATAACCTCTAGTTTTCTTTTCAAAATTTCCTTTTCTATTTTCTGTTTTTATTTTTAAATATATCTATAATATATTTAAGCAATTAAAATTACCGGTAAACTAACCAATAAATCAAACAAATTCAACTAACAAATTTTCTTAATTATAAAAATATCATAAATTAAACACAAACCACTGTAATTAATGTCGGCATGAATATAGTTCAACGATAATTAACATCTAATCATTTTTATGAGATTATAAATTTAAACTTCCATACTTATAATATATTATTAAATGATAGTGGCTAATTAGATTTTTTTTCTTTTGGAAGAGTACGAAGTAGTTTTCAAACACTTCATTTTCTCCGAAAATGACATATTTTATAATTTCACTAGTTCTAGACTCAAAATTTAAAATAATTTGAGATTTTTTTTCCAGTAATGATTATTTTACTCTTTATGATATCGAAAAAATGTTAAGAATAGTATTTAATATAGTACTAAAAAAATAATTATAAAGAATTCTCGGGAAAGAACTCGAGTGGTAGCAATCAACAAATGGAGTCGACAATTAAAGGGAGAGTCTATGAAGAGCTGATATTTTGGCCTGAGCTTTCAAAATTTCACATTTTATTTTTTAACTTTTAAATATTTTAATTCAAAATTCAAACTTCTTTTATTTATAAAAAGTCATTTTTAATCATTTTTATTATATTACAAATGTAACAAATTTTCAAATTTGTTTAAAAATTCAATATTTATCCTATGAGATGTTGCTTCATAAGCTTATCCACCCATACCTCAAACCTACGTATTTATATTTATATAACAAAAACCTTGATATTTAATGAAATATCTTTTTAAAAAACTAATAACAATAACTAAATTGATTTATAAACGGTTAAAGTAAGCATAGCTGAACGATAATTGATATATATCTCCAATCAAGAAGTTGTAATTTTAATCTCCAACCGCCACACATTGTACGAAAAAAATGATTTATGAACTTCAAAATAAACGTTTTAAAAGTACAAAACAAATAAACTAAGTCGAAAGTATAGAGACCTCAATAATATTTAAACCTTTGTTCTTATATACAATACTTGGCACATGTTTAAAAGTCTAAGAACCAAGATAAAGTGAAAATATCAACATAAATATACTATTAGTGACGACATTAGTTAGTACTTAAATTATTAAATATGGGTGGCTCAAATGTTTATGAAACTAAAAGAAAGTTAATTTAATAATAATAACAATCAGAGTTAAATGGATAAATATGAGAAAGAAAAAATAACAATAAATATTGGTGATGTGATGTGATGTCCCACTGAAAAGATAGAATCTAGCGTAAGGCAGAGGCGGTGTTGGTTGGAGTGGGCGCCATGTTTTCCATGTGACCCTTTTTTTTATCATCTTTTTCCTCCAAATTAATTTTTATATTTTGTACTAAAAAAATAATAAAAATAATGTTTTATGTTTTGTCTATTTCACATCCACTTGTGTTGCGTGTGTCCTGTGATATTTCTACAAAGGGCTATACTTTTTATTTATCAATTTAAGTAAAGTAAATAAATAAGAGTGGTGGTGATCTGAAAATTAGAATTTGAAAACATATACAATAGATTTAGAAATTGAATCTTAATTTAAAACTGTTATAGTCTGTCAATTAATATATTTGGAAATTAGTTGGAGTTAAAAAATAATAAAATTATATTATTAGGTAATATATTTATCAAAATTCTTATTATTTTTCAATATAATTATGCAGTTTTCAAAAATAAATCTAACAACCAATATTCACTCAATCCTAGATCTTAAAAACAAAATTTAGATTGCCTACAAACTCTAAATTACTGGAAAAAAAAAAAAAGAAAAAACTCAAAATTATTCACGTTTGTTTTGTTTGGGTAAAAC